GCAAAAGGCTGTTTCACAGCATAGCACCCCTAAAAGAAACACTCCCCTTCAAATAGCGGATCTGGGGTTGTGGAGCAGCCAATTTGTACGCAGAATTCCTTAGTTGATTCGAAGTAATATCATTTCGGGATATAAATCAAGGTTGTAGATATTCAGGAGCCATGTTGTTCGCTAATCACTTCCAAAATAAACCGTTTAAGCATTCCCAGATCAGCAGAAATGAAAATAAGACCAGTCGACTTCTTTTTTTCTTTTTCTCGGTATACTGACTGAAAAGCCATTTTTCTGTTTTGTTATTGTAGACCATTCATAGGTCAAAAGATACCTTTCATTGGTCTAATTCAACTACCCTTCATTCATTAATAAAGAAAGTATGTTTTCAACACAATGCTCGTGATTAGTTTTTTCAGGTTTACCTAAGGAAGTAAACATATAACAAGATTGAGTATTAGAAAATGTTTATACTGGCATAAAGTAGAAAAAATATTTACCTCGGTGTTGATGAAAGTGGTGGATATGTAATTACACTTCGGTGAGTAATCGCTAACTATTGATTTTCTGACTTTAACACGCAAGGCTCCCTTACAAGTGTCATACATTGCCATATTTACTAGAGCGAGCGCTGTCCGATCTCCTCCTTAAAGGTGCCAGGCCTTAGGTATAGGCCACACCTATGATTTTCTATTTGAAAACGCATACCTTTTAGGGCACGTCCACCTATTTTTAACACTAAAACAACCAAAACTTCTGTTAGAAATGGAGATTTTGGTCCAAAAGAGGAGCCTAAAGAAAAAGTTCTGTCTTTTGGGACGACAATAAACGGAGGCTTTTAAAGAAAAAGATCGCTTTTACTACCACTTTCGAGCGTATTTGTACAGACAATAGACATTAAAAGCAAAAAAAAAACCACCCAAACACCTAAAATGTGAGGACAACGAATTCATGTGGACAGTTAAACAAAATAATTGAAACGCCTTTGTGTAGGACGAGCTTTCTTACCCTTACGTATCTAGTAGACGAAAGTAAATACTCATTCACACGTTACCCTCGGTAGGTCGGGCCCTGAGAGCAGTTATACTCTTAGGCATCTCTAGAATAAGCGCTTCGTCAAAGAATGATGCAGATTCAAGCAAATTCATTTTCCGGGAAATCAACGTTTTTAAAGATGCAACCGACCATAGTTCTCTTCTCTCAGGTAATTTCAGACACGGATTACAAAGGGGGTGAACTTAATGGCTCTTAAGCATAAAGCACGCCCCAAGCCCCTGCAAAATATTTCCACAAAATCAAAGGTCCAACCAAAAGAAAAGCCAATGGAGACGGCTGGGTTTTTTCGATCGGTGTCCAAATTACACCTTTACATGTTTGTCAGATCACCCATAAAATGATGGAGTAATTACGGACTCCAGCACATGATACTTTTGCACCATAAAATGATACGTTAACCATTCAGCCACAGTGATTGAATTTTGTCTTACACCCAAACTATGGCCGGATAGTTTGGGTGTGAGACAAAATTCAATCACTGTGACTGATTGGTTAACGTAAAGGTTGCCATGGTAAACCCAGGAGAGCTTCTCCTGTTGTCGAGGATTTCCAAGCCTACACTGATTTCTCATTTTGATTTTTGCCGATGAAGCTTTTTTAGATATTCGGAAACGGCAAAGTTATCATTAATCTCTTCATAATTTTAACAGAAACAAAAAAAGAAAAAAAAATTGCGTATTACCCTTATTCAGCGCAACCCCCTTAAAATTGTCTTTATTATCACTATTATTATCAATATTATAACTAATTTTCCGCACATTGTTCCTTGGATTTAGGAAGCTGCTGATTTAACAAAGAGAACGATGAAAAAAGTTTTAAATTCCTTACTCAAAGCTTGGATATTGTTTTCCTTGGTAATGAAAATTTATCTGGATTTTAACGAAACCATAAAATCATTTCATAGTTTGGCAAAATGAAAATTAAAAAAAAAACGGTTCATGTGAAACAGATATGTAAAGAGGCTGGTATGGGATGAAGAAGATTGAAATGAACCGCAATATTTGGTATTCTGCTATTACTCGGGCTTTCCAAAGGAAACGCCCGAGTCGAAACTTCGGCTTGGTTTTTTTTTTTTTTTTTTTTTTTTTTTTTTTTTTTCAGAAATATGACGAAACAAGATAAGATGGTGATAATATGAAATATAATGACTATTGATTGATGTGTACCAACTGATACGATATTGCGACAACCTACTGAGTTATACCTTTCAGTATACAGTATTATTGACCCAAAAAATATAAGGTTTATTATTCACATTGAATATCACATTGTGGTTTCAGGGAACGTGGCAGATTTCCGAGCGGGTTACTCGAAATATAATTATTATTAATGATATACACCTTCTGATGTGATACTGCTACAGAGGTATACCATGCAATATCGCTGAGTCAAGAAATATTAAGTATGCTATCATAATATTCTAATTCCGTCCTTATCAAGCAGTTTTCAATGCAGATAACACCACCACGAATTCCTCGCGAATTGCAGTGATACCTAGCACAATGATCATACAGTGCTCCGTAGAGTCGTCCTGTACTGAGCGGTTATGGTCACCCCTTGATTTATTATCTTTCCCTTACACCTCAACTTCAGCATAACGTGTAAAAGAAGCTTTGAGTTTCAAATGGAAATTAAAATAATTTGCCGTAGCGGTTTCGGTTTGCAGAGGAAGCAAATTGTGGTGATTTCATGTTGTTGTTTTGCATAGGACGGCTAAGAAATGTACAAAGTTTTTAAAAGCACGTGCTGAGCTATTGCTCTGCCGATTAGATCTTTTTTTTTTCCATGTCCTCATTGCCGTCGCCGTCGTGGTTTACGAAAGGTCCCTATTTACAGTTGTAGCGAGCTGCTGTAGCGAGGTAAATAATTGATTTATTATAAACTAAAATAGTGAAATAATATACGGGCTTAAGTATGATTTTGTCTCATTTAATCTTAAAATAACTATTACATTTTCGGGCGAAAATCCTGCGCGCATTGCTCGGAGGTAAACAGCAAAGCATATTCGGAATTTGTGTAGCCAATCAGACCGCGTCTTAGACGTAATCCGCTGTTTCAGTATATACTATTTATCGTTAAAAAGGTGAGCTCCAGCTTTCCACTGTTACCCTTTGGTTTCAAAAGCTGGCTTTGGTTTTCAATACATAACGTTTCATTAATTTTTACGGTGATAATCGGTTTTGCCCAACGTCAAAATGTCAGCGTACCATATCCGGTGGTTTCGACATGTTAATTGATAGCTGATGATTGGTCAAATGCAATCATCATACTTTGAATAGTGGAAAAAATCACTTGAATTGCTTTCAAAAGTATTGGCGATTTGAGGCTGTTTTCACTTCCGTTAAAAACACACGCACGTACAAAACATAAAAACAAATCATCTGTTTCCATCAATGTGAACTTTTAATGGCCAAAGGGAGAATTTCTGGCTCCGGTTGTTCGAAGGGTGATTAACGCTATCCACTGGATAAATCTGTATCCGGTGGATAACACTGTACGTTTTGTTAACACTTAAGCGCTTAATAACGATTTATCCGTTGGATAGCATTATCTGCCCTTTGAACAAAGGGGTCCTGGTATTTTATCAAAGATTATCATTAACATAAAAGGTTGGTCAAGGGTCCAGTAATCCATTCATGGCGTACATTGTATCCAAAATAGCTTTCTGCCGTCCGGAAACTTTCTTCTCCATTCGATTTTCTACTAGAATTTCCGGAAATTTTTTCTATCGAATGGAAGCATTTTGCAATTGATGACACTAAGGGAGATATGTTTTTCGAAGGTTAAGGTGTCTCCGTTTCGTTATCAAATAGCTATGGAAAATCTTTAATATATCAAGCAGCGCCAGTGATCGATCGCCTCGCTTCATTGGAATAAACTAGTCAATATATTTATTGCGCCGCCCGTTAACGCTCTTTTAGAAGACCAGGTGCACTATCTTAATGGACTTGTCTGAGGATTGTCTGCCTTCAACTTTCAGTCTCTTTGCGAACGGTGCGCATGCTGCGAAGCAGTTAAATTAAAGTTAGTTGTTTCTGGCAACGATTCTTTCACAAATGCAAGAAGAAACCGCGTGTACGTTGAAATCTAGTTTCGGAATCAAACATCGTCCTCTTCTTACTCAAAAATCGCTCATAATCTTTTCCAATATAAGTAAAGCAAAGTAAAAATTTGCACTCGGACACTGATTTGCAAATTTGCTCAAAAAAGTGGAAAATGAATCTATTTTAGTGTTGTTGTTTATCTCGATAACTTTCCGTGTTAACACGTGAAAGGGCAGCGCTTGTCAGATAGACAGAAAGATTGATAGACAACTTTATTTCTACGCGGTAAAATTCTTCAGCACAATCTAGGAGTATAAAATATAAAATTCTGCTTACTTACTAATGATTAATACGCATTAAAAGTTTAAAAACCCATTATATCATGAAAGCTGTTTTTCTAAGATATTGTGTCTTTTTTAAAAGCTATAATGACGTAGTTTTTAATTCGCTAAAAGAAACTGTTGAGCAGAGTTCTTGCGAAAGTCTGTTCCTCAGCATGCCACCCCTAAAGGAAAAACTCCTCCTCAAATAGCTGGTTTCGGTGGTAGAATAGCCAATTTGTACGCATGATTCTTTAGTCAATACGAAGTAATAACATTTCGAGATATAAATCGAGGTTGTAGATATTCAGGGGACATGTTGCATGCTAGTCGCCAAAATATTTTGATTTTGACAAAACTTTATCGCAATCTGTGGTAGGAAACGAGTCGAAAGATTTGGGGTAGAACTGGTAAATACGCAGGCGAACTTGTTTTACGTTTTCTGACGAACCCGTGAAGAAGGTAGGGGGGCATGTTTGCAATGGGGCGTATTTACCAAAAGCCAGTGTTGGAATTTTTACTACAAAGAAACCAAAAAGATTGTTTGCTTCTGACAATATACCAATTCATAACCTAAATTAAACTTTGACGCGCGATTTCGTCGCCTTAGCTGCTCAGAGGTGGATATTATCAGAGCACGCTAAAAAATCACTATCTACTTATGTGCTGTGTACTTATCTCTAAGAAAGTTTTTAAAAGTCCACTGGTCTAATTTTCATTTCAGTTGATGAAGGAGCGCTGCCTTCGGCACTGGTTCGATCTAACTCTGCCCAGTGAATATCTGCAGAAGTTTTTCTTCCACAACGCGGATAAATACCATTGAGATTTGAAAAAACAGCACATTTAATACCGTTGCCATACCACCAGCCTCTGCCACTTCTTTGAGCACAATCAACAGGTTCTCTATCCCAGGTACCAAAAACGAGATTCCTGTGGGGACCGAGGGAATCAGAGGAAACGGTGGCATCTGTTTCAAAACAAAAAAAAAGAAATTCGCATAATTCTAGGATCCTTATAACGCCTTTTTCCCGCGAATAACTTGTTGTTTTCCGCAAAAAAGGAAATAAAGGAAAAACTGAAGGTTAGTAAGAAGTGAGCTCCTTACGTGGCACAAAGACCTAACCCCAGACCGAATAAGAACCAATCAGACATTCAGGTTTACCTCAGGACTACCTTGCCAACTTATAATACCATTATTCGACCAAGTAGAGTAAAATATTGAGATTTAAATGAGAGTGAATTAATATATATAAATCGAATGATAAATGCCGAAAAAAAAAACCGTTAACTTACTTGTAATATTGCCAATATATAGCCGATACTTAGCTGTCTCGTTCCCAATCCCAAACCAGTCATACTCAGGGTGAACAGTTTTGCCAGTAGTTACCCCCAGATCTACCCGAAGCTTATTCTTTGTCTTGTTTCGAGTCAGGCGGTTTATCTTGTCCAGTCCGAGCCAAAACTCACCGACCAAGTTACCGAAGCCATGTTTGTATTCGTTCCAGGTGCGGTTAAAATCAATGGAGCCATCCATTCTCTTCTGGATCACTGTCCATCCCCCATTGGCTGTAGTTTGGTCACAATATACATTAAAGGCGCCTGAACCATCTGGGTCGATAGTGTAAACACCACTGATCCTTCGTCCGGATTTGTACAGCTCAGCACAGTTCCTAGCTGTTGTAGATAAAATAAAGATGCTTGACGTTTTGGGCATGCTCTCAAAGAGGGGGTTTGGTATGAACGTGCTTATATCATCTGACAAAGTATCTGTCTTGGAGAGAAGACTACGGACTCGGATTCTTCATATATCTTTTATCTTTTAAAAGCGCATCAAATCATAAGATAAGAATAAAAAAAATATTTTGAAAAAACTCGACAAATGACCAAAGATTCGAAAAACGTTTAGAATATTTAAATTATTCTGTTGTCAATGTTCAGCTAAACAGCAGCTTGAACAAAGAGTTGCTAAAGATAAGAGCTCCAAGCATGCTGAAAATTTTGTCATCTCGATTCGCAAAAAATTATTCCTTTGAAAATAAATGGAAATCGCCCTGCATAAGACTACCTTTTTCGGGATACACTGTATAATGATAAAGATAAAATGGAATAACCAGTACAATT